GAACCGGGAAATCGAGCTTTGAAGTAAAAATAATTCCGGATTGATAATATATGGCGTGAAAATATAAGGATGGAATTAGAGAAATGCTTGGCGAGAAGTACGCTTAGGATCGAGCGAAGAAACGAGTGCGGCGCTTGACTGAGACGGGAACCCACGGAAAATTGCAGTAACCCGAGAAAATTGCATTCCTTTGCACGTCGTACCACGTGATGGCGGTGGTTGATTATTTTTCCTTTCAAAGAAATAATCCAGAACTCGAAAGCGTTTCTGGTGTATTAGGCAAATTCGCACTGTCACTTTGGATGCAAATATGTGTTGTAATAACGTAATTAAAGATATGCGTTATAATAATGCACGCGAGAGTTGTATTCGGCGAAACGCTACTATTACGACAATGGCGTAGAAGTAAACGTTGCATTACGTAACGCATATAACAACCGCGAACAGAAACGCTCCAAAAGCAACACGGGAAAATGAAGTCGCCATTAAAAGCAGAGAAGCCGTCGTACTCTCTCTTTCTGGTGTAATACAATTATTTTTAACAGCATGATTACGGATACACTTACTCGCAGAAGTTTGACCCCTGAATAAAAGCTTATCGCACGCAATAAATCTGTAGATATATATATGATACAGAATATATGTATATGTATACGTATATCTACAGATCGTCTGTCTCTATCTATAAATAAAATTTATATATTTACGATTTTTGTAGAAGTATGCATATATGCTTAGAAACATTTTCTTTAATGAAACTGTATATAATAACAGTAATACATACAAACTTGTAGTCAATTATTTAAGCAATTCTGTTGCTCGTATATGTCATCAAAATAAAAATACGATAGTGTCAAATTCGTTTCATTATTGTACGCTTGACAATTCGATCAATTGCAAGTATTTACTCAAAGTTGCCTTTTTCAAATTCTTTTTCTTTTTACACCATTGTGCGACGATTCTTCGTATTTCAGGGATCCCGAGTGCTTTCTTTTTCTCTATTATCCTCAATTTGCGTAAGTGACCCTGCGGGGTCGAGATGCTTTTTTCGACGGTCCTTACCCTTCCCTGTAGATAGGGTTGAAGTTTTGCTCATTATCTAATGTAAGTAACGGATAAGCGGCTTCGCGCAATTTACGATTGTCCAGTCACGTATGCAGCCGATTGTCCACGACTTACGTACGCACGCTCTACGGTGGAGTTTATGTATACGCGTTTTACCGAGGGATTTCGTGATGTATAACGGCCCGGTCAAAGTTTGCTCCAAACACTCGTTAGACAAGGAACGAGACGAGGGTGAAAGTTGTCCTCGGGCTTGGCACGGTAACTTCGTGGCAACAGAATTGTTGCCAAATTTACCAACTAAAATTTGATTCATACTATCTGTACAATCACCATTAGGAAATAGAATTGTCAAATCGAAACAATATACATTGTGATATATATATATAAGATGTTAAAAAATTCAGAATTTATATGATAGATAGTAAACATCATACTGAATAAAAAGCCTTAATGAACATAGATCAAAAATTCAACCGTTTCTATAAGATATAAATAATTTTGTATGTTCGCATCATAATTGATTTATTGATTTCTATATGTGACATACGTCATATAAGATGTAAAGATTTATCCCAGGATGTTTTTACAGATCGCGTTTAAAATCGCGTTCTAATTTAATTATTTTAACTATGTGTATCAAGGAAAAACTTTACCGGGAATTAATAAATTGATATCAATCAATCCTTGTAATTGGATGGGAGATCACCTCACTTGTAATTCTTTCAAATAGACTATCAGTGCTACAAGTGCTTGTCTCAATTTCTCTCTTTTCACATCGTATGCAACACGTAGAATAAATCAGTTATGATACCAATATATAAAGTTATTTATATCTCAGAAACGATTGGATCTGTATTCATTAAGATTTTTTTGTTCAGTATGTATTATCTAGTATATAAATGTTAAATGATTTATTTTATATATCCTGTATACATATTTATTTGTGTCTCAATTAATAATGCACATAATAATTAATTTCAGAATAAATCAAATTAAGAGAACTTGCAGAAATCCTTAAAAATGACATGCAAAAAATAGAACGTGCAGAAAAACAAGACTAAAGAAAGCCGAAATAAAATTAAATAAATTATATATGTAAATAATAAAAAAAATAAATAATTTATTAAGATGCAAACATTCACAAGACAGAAAAAAACCGTAATTAATAAATCATTATAATATACCACAAAATGATAAATAAATAAATAAATAATGGTAGATAAAACATCTGCGAAATAACGGAATGCCTCGGTTCCAGAACAATCATCACATAATAATGTTAATGATGTTAAAATGAGTTCTAAATGAAAAATATGTTTTAATGATCTTTTTGAAGTCGTTTTCATATTATCATGATTAGCTGTTCTATTTAGATTTGAAGTCGAATTACTTATTAATAATAACGTTATTCTCATCTAAAAACATGTACATCTAAACATGAATTATTTGTCATAAATTTTTGCTTGAGACACTTAGTAAGTTGATCAATTGATAAAAAAGCTGTAATACGCATTCCAGAAAAACAAATCTATAATATTTTAATACTTGTAATATATAATTTTTATAACATGCGCTTCACGTTTGCTATACATATAAAATCCAATTGCTAATAAAATTTTTCGTGCAAGATGCATCATATGAAATTTAGTTTATATTTGTGTTATTCTGCAGTATAATATATATTTACAAGTTTTGTTGCTGCTTTAATTTATAATCAAGCACTATCGGCTAACATTTAAAAAAGCCATGTTAACACTATATATTTTGTTCAGATTGCAGTGCCATCCAATGATTGTTTTCATAATGATAATTTCTATAACAATTATCAAATAACAATCCAAACAAGTTTGTTTGATGATATATTATAAAGGCTAGTAAAGTTCTCAAAATATTATATCTTTTAGATATTTACCCATAGATTTATTCGTTTGTCAGCTGCGGAAAATTCATGCAGTAGGTTTATAATTAAATGTAAAAAATGATTTTATTAATTACTTTCTTAAATTTTTTGGAATAAATTGAAAAGATTTAATTTTCTCAAATCTTAAATTATTTATGTTTGGAAAATGTAGAATATAAAAAAATAACTTATAAAATGTAATAATATTTTACGTGTTATTTAAAATTATCTTTTATTATATGTAAAAAGTAACAATAAATTAAAAAAACCTAAGCATTAAAAATTAAAAAAAAAAGTCAAATGTTTTTTGTTTATTATAAACATTATTACATGTACAGATTAAAAATAGAATTATTTTAGTACCGGCAATATAATTTTTATTACATATAAACGTGACGCATTTATCAAATTTTATATGTATTTGTTAATTCAATTTATGACTTTAATAATATAAAAGAAGGTCTTCTCATATTATATAATACTACAAGCTGAAAATTAACTTGCTACTGTGATTATTCCACAACTAAGTTCTTACAAGATTCTAATAGATCTGATTTCTGTTTTAGTCTTTAGCGTTCTTGTAAATATGGAAAATAGTCGTATCACAAAAAGTATATTTATTATATGTATATAATTTAATATTCATAGCGCCTTTTATAATTGTATGTTGTTTTTCTTGAAATGACTTTTAAATTCTTAAATTTAAATTCTTAAATGTTACTTTTTCAAGTATTTCTTTTCAAGTATTTATGTTACTTTTTCAAGTATTCAGATTGAAAACATCGCAATATAAAAATAAGAATATTTTTTTCTTTTAAAAAAACAACTTTAGCATCGCTCCTCAATTTTTTTTAGATGTTGTAATAATTGCTTAATAATATACTAACATGATGTAGTGATGCAAATTAAGTGATAAAAGTTTTTTATGATTTTATATTTGAATGTCAGAGCGATTAAGAAAATACGCAATGCAAAAATATTACGTCACGTTATACATTACGTCAATTTAAGTTTAAATATAATTTTAATATAATTTTAAATTTTCCATAGTTTTTGTGTGCAATGTAATTGCATTTATATAACCCTTTATCAACAGTAATATAAAAATTTAATTATTATTATTGTTATTAAACATCTTAGCAATACAGTACTAATTATTTTAGTAAATTAAGTAATGCGCATGTATCTTTTATATTATATAATGAGGGTTCCTATAAACTAACAATAGATATTTTAATAAGAACTTCTTCGATTTTTGATAAAAATTCTAATATAAAAATATCGTAATTATAATAGTTTTTAAATAAGAAGAAATCATTTTGTCAGCGCCGTGTAAATTTTAGCTGTATTATTCGAGACCTTCAAAAATCCTTCTCATTCGAAAACTATTATAGAATTGAAATTTATGTATTAGAAGTTTAGCTTAAGTACATTTTCGTTTTAAATTACAATGAATTTGTCATTAAATCAAAATATAGATATTTATTATCAGTTTATCCTGCAATACCTCCACCATTATCTTATGTATATATCTGTGTGCACACAGTATTGTAATTCCCATATATGTGCTTACATGATGTAGTTCGGTAATTCTTATATTTCTGTAAAAAAGAAACTTTATAGAAATTAAAATAATGTTTATCATATAAATAACAAAAATATGACTATATCTATTGCCATCAATGATAAATTTGATATAAGTAACAAATAAACAAAAAGAGAAAAAGTTTTTATTCTTAAAATTCTACTAATTAACTTTTTGATAAAATATTTATAAATACTATACTTACACACATTTTTTTGATTAAATAATTTCTTGTTAAAATTCTAGGAATTTATATTCTATTTTTTATATTCTATTATTTATATTTCTAGGATATTCTCTAGACTTTTAGAAATCAGTAACGCTACCGAGTTCTAATCTCTATCGTACTCACTTCTTTGTTGAATATTCAACCAAAATCCGTCCTTCGGTATCATTGCCAGATTTTTCTCGCTGAATTTAATTGACGAAGTTTTGGGGCATTGTTTCAGTTCACATCGTGCTAACTAGTAAATGAAATGGTATGACTTTTATCATCAACAAACCGAATCTTCTGTCAATGCACATTCTCGATCCTAATCCAAATGGAAAATAAAATGAAGACCGATAATTATTGTCCAGATTATTATTTAAAAATCTTTCTGGACGAAATTCTTCAGCATTATCGTAATATTTTTCATCATGATGAATCGCATACAACGGAACCCAAATAATCATGCCCTTGTTTATAGTGAAAGACTTCTCGCCCGGCAATGCAGGTGGCAATTTATAAGCTTTTTCACAGATTCTTTCCATAACAGAAGGTGAAAAAAGTCTGAGAGCTTCCTTTATTACTGCATCTAAATATTTGAGTTTATTAATAACTTCATAAGTTACGTTTCCGTTCAATTCGTTTAAGAGCTCATCTATCTCTTGTCGCAATTTGACTTGAATACTTGGATTAGCTACGATTTGGTACGCGATATAAGATATCACGCTTGAACTAGTTTCAGAGCCAGCGAAATAGAAAGCGTAGGCTTGCGCGACAATATCGTCCACATCCAATTGTATTTGACCCTCTTTACCTCGGTTATCCAACATTAATTGTATCATATCTGGACGTGTAATATGCTCGGTATCGCGAATGGCAATTTCGTTCTTTATCGTGCTCTCAAAATACTTCATTTCGTGATTATTTAAAAGTTTTATATTGAATATTCGTCCAAGCTTTGGAAAAGTTCTAATAAAAATATACTTTACGCTGCGTATTGCTGACATATAAGTTATATCTTTGCCACAAATATAAAACTTATTTGTCGGATTCTTATAGAATCAATCTTCATTCCGTAAATACATAAGGCAATGACATCGTTCGTATATCTATCGAAGATATCTTTCATATTAATGTCGCTTTTATCCGCTGGTAGTGTTGACATCAATTCAGCAAAATCCGCAGCATGTTTCGACATAAAAGTAAACATAATCTTCATCTTACTGAACGTAAAGAATGGAGATAGTAGATTTTTTACGTGCCGCCACTTTGTATTTTGTAGGCCAAACAGATTCTGTGAAAGCACATAATCATTAGCATCAACGAAAACGGGATTATTGATAAACGTATCGAAATTCTTGACGACAACATCCTTGATCACTTCCGGATCACGGAGCATAAGAACTGGCTTCGTTGTAGCGTAAAATCCAATGTATTTTGCATCTCGATTCAAATTATATATTTTTCTGGTGAAATCGACAAATGACATTCGGCGAAATATAATTGGTGCCATGGCACCTAGTATTGGAGTAGATGGTACGTGATAATATCATGTCTTTTAAAAAAATTAAACTTTCTGAACAGATAATAAGTAACGAGAATGCTAATCACAATTGATAACACTGAGATTAACCAGTATTCCATGATAAATATTACTCGAAAACTGTGACTTTATGAGAATTAGAATGATACTTATTAAACTTCAACAAAACTATTCGCGAGAGCGATTGATGAAATATATAGCAAGCTAGCAATGTTGTGATATCAAGTAGAAATAACTATCTGCACATTTCCAGCATTTGTTTTATAGTCTTACATTTTTTTTAGTAATTAAATACTTTATTTATAGATCTAAGCGTAAGTTTTTCTAATCTCAAGGTTTGCATATATGATATTGCAAATGAATGGGGAAAAGAGAGGGATAAGAGAGAGAGAAAATATGTCTATGACAAGGGGGCCGCGAGGAAAGAGGTTCGTATGATGCTATTATGTACGGAGCAAAGAATAATAAAAAGATGAAACTCGAGGTCTGAGTCAGTTGAATTTCGGGCGAATTTCGGGCCGCTTGCAGCACGGTTATTAGAGAGCATAGACGAACACATGCATGCGCAAGTATACACGGATATGGACTCATCATAGCATATGTATTCATCATGCCAGCAATCGTACAAGCAGCCCGGAACTCGTATCACTGGTTTGAGTCTAAAAGTGGACTCGAAACACGATGTAGGAAAACCCATAGAAAATTCGACAAATGTAATTTTAGTGCCATCACGCCTTGCGGGAAAAGTTGGAAGTATTGACTGTCACAGATCACGTATATATGTATCTTATAATAACTTTTTTATTAATATGAAATTTTATTATAATGGCAATCTCCACAATCATTTTGTTACCGCCATGTTATCCGTGATGTCCTGTTGGTTACAAATGTATAAAGAGAAGAATTCGGAATTATGTACTAAAAAGTCTAATCGTAATCGTGTGTGTTTACTTTATACTCTTATACATGCTGTTTATAGAATTTGTTCTTTTTTCAACTACTATATTTTGCATTTTTATAATATATATTCGAATAACTTAAATAAAGAAAATTGGGAATCATTCATTGAAAAATATGATCCTTATCCATTATTTCAATACAAGAAAAATTTTATTTTTCTATGTTGCTAGCAGAGTTCATTCTTAAATAAGCAACCACAGATATCATTATTGGTCTGCGTTGTTTGCAGTCTTTGCATTTAACATCTTCGTTTTCCTCAACGTCTGCATATCTATTTATCTCACTTTGAGTGCAAACATTTTTGAATATTTTAAACAACGCAAACAGACTTAATGTGTTTTTTTAGATGCCCAATTTTGTTCGAAACATTATTTACAGATTTAAGTTGTTAAGCTTTATAATTATATTAAAAGTCTATAATGGAATATAAATTGTTTGTTATGATTAAATAATAATTTAATAACAAGAAATGATAATATTTTTATAATACTTACAAATAATATCTATAAATACTATCTATAATAATTATTAATTATGTCAATACGAACTTTTTTTTATAGATACATGAAAATTTGATAACAAATGGCTAATTATGGTTAATTTATAAGAAGCAATAGATTATGAGTAAATATTGTAAATGTAAAAATATCAAAAAGTAACTACAAAAACATTTTTGCGTTTTGATTTTTTAATCTTGTAATACATTATATGCGATTATATAATTATGCATATTAAATAAGAAAAAATACTTTACCTATCATTATTCAATAATTTTATTTTTTTTATAATACATAAAAGATCTACAAATGTGATATATGTATCTAATGTTTAAAACATTATCTAATGTTTTCAGTTTTGCATAGTTTATTAAAGAGACGTATATGAATCGAAAAGTTATGAAAAAATCGACAAACTGTAATTATTAACTGGAATAATTGTAGGTTACATGGTTAGTATAAATTACGAAAATCAGAAACAGTGTCTTTAGTGTCAAATGATTCATTTATTGTGATATCCAATACACTGAAATGTCTCTCAAGAATAAAATAACGTTAAGAAATTTAATTTTTCACGAATTATGGATTTACAACAGAAATAATACGAATCAATAATTTGTGAAATTTTTCTTAAACAATGAGTTTATAAGTTAAATACAAACTTTATGTATGTAAAGTATGTACTTACATCACGTGTCTTAAATAAATCTTTCATGCACGTACGACGTACGAGAGACTCTCCTAATTAAAATAAACTAAGTAAATCCAATTCTTTTTAAATTGAATTCTATACAAAATATAATATATGTAATAAATACATTTATTATTCTCTTATTTTAAATAATATTCAAATTTGCTATACTTCGATATTGTTGTTTAATACGATTCAAATATTCTAATAAAAATTAAGTATGTCATTTACAATAATGTCAGATTTGAATGTAAATATTTCTAAAGATAAAAAATTTATAAAAATGGCACAAAAATTGTAAGTTTACAAAATATATATTATATGTAATACAAATTGCAATTATTATGTGCATTATATTATGTGTATAAGTTTTATTTTACTTCAGTAAAAGTATTGTACAATACATACTATTTTGCATAATAATAACATGGGAAATTGGATAACAACATAAATTGCGTAATAAATAAGAAAATGTAAGGTTACAAGCAATTGATCTGATAAAATATACACATTGTTCGAATTATAATTATATATATATATATATATATATATATACATATGTGGTTAGATATACATGTATATATACACAGAGTATCTACACAGTTTTCCAAGGAATATCCGAAGAACATTTCAAAGGTTGCTACATCTAAGAACTTTTTCTAGGACGTCTCTCAGAGAACTGTGTTGTGTGAGATATTATCCATACCAAATTATCCATACCATCTTTTTATCGTGATATAATTTCGTGTTTTTTTACGACCACTTATATAATTACAATAGAAATTATAACACAAATATTGCAAAAATATAACGATTTCAAATGTTCTTTCCTTAGTTGGTAATCGATACAACGCAGTCTGAATTATCGCCACGTGCATCACTGAACACTTGCTTGTTCATATAAAAAAGTAAAATTTACACGATGTAATATCTAAGAATTATTCTTACGCTTGAGCAATAATCTTAGTGTATAAGTTACAGTATAATTTAATGTATTCTTCACATTAAATAATCACTTTTGGTGCAATACATATAACCTTCGTGTATTCTTATGCCAATAAGTATGTTTCGTTCACTAAAAATCTGGATAGATAAAAGATGTTATATTATTATAATCATTAAAATAACTCTTTACACATGAAACAATGATATTTCTTCAAATCTATAATATTTGGTTAAATTATCAGTTTTTTGCATTTAAATGTTATTTGAAATTTTTATAATAATCAAGTAAAATAATGAATTTATTTGATATTATATTTTTAATATACTTTAATTATATTTTTTTGACAGATTAATAATTTGCAGGATATTTATGTTATGCTGTCCTTAACTGTCATATAAAAAAACATGTTTTAATTACTCACATGTGTTTACCTAATGCACAATAAATGACCATACGACGTGGTAATACGCGTAATTTGTTTTTATTTTACATTTTGAAATTACATGGATCTTATGTATAGTATTCTTATGAATATATATATATATATATATATATATATATATATATATGTATATGTATATATTTTATCTGTTCTGTCTTCATTATTTTGCCGTTCGTATTACTTCGCTCATCACAGATCTGCAACAAAAATAATTGTAACGCAATAAATTAAATAATTATTTTTGCATTTTTCAATACATAGAATTAAGAATTGTAGTTTTGATTTATTTAAATATGGAAAATTGTTTTGACAATTTTTTAATCGTATCTTATAACTTTATCAAAAATATATATGTATTATATGGCAAATTTAAAAGAATACTTTATTCTTTTTTATTTATCAGTTTTGCGAAATAATATATTTAAATTAAATCAAACATTCTTTACATTTAGGCATATAATTTCTTGTAATATGAAGAATATTCACATATTTCTTATTGTTAAATCTGCGCAGATCGTCCGATGGCTAGAATTTATGGTATGATTGTAAGTCAAAGAATTAGATCCAATCTGCTCATTAGACCCACATGTAAATCCTCGACAATATTTTGGCATTAAATAGGTTTAGTAAGTTTTGGCGTACATTTGCGTATGAATATATACATGGCTACTTAGTAAGCTTCCGCGGTAGTTTATGCGAAACAAGGAATTAACATAATATGCCATAAATAACACGAGTCATTGTTACAATAAGTGCGTCCCTTTAACAAACAACAGTACTTTCATCTTTAATGAATTTCATTAGCGTTCTGAAATATCATATTAAGACACGCTTT